AAGATTTTAAATGATGAGAAGCCAAGATGATATAGAGACAAAAGACAAACAGGTATTACACATTTGTGACATACAGGTACACAATTTTGAAATTCAAGAACTAAGAAAGTTTGCAGTAAATTCATTTGACAGCAAACCTTACCTGAGCTAACAAAAATGCTATTTAGTCTTAACTCATATGTTTGCCACAGACATTAATTTGGGCAGTGTGGCTGGTATGTTATGATATAGGGTAGATACACTACTACTTTACCTTCCTAAATAAAAGGTTATATGAAATTAAACTGAATAATTTATCTTGATTCATACTGTGTATTTAAGTGAACTAATATAGATTACAATAAATACTTTAGTAAGTCAGAAATCCAAAATTTACTGGTTCATGACATTTGTGTTCATTAAGCTTCCCAAGATAATTTAAAATCAACTCAACTCTGCCTTGGGGCAAATAAGGTGTCCCCAGTATACAATATGTTGTTAAAGTAAAGATAGCCTTTGCTCTAAGTCAAAATATAAGGAGCTACAGTCCCTATATTTTATTTAAAATTTCCTTTGATTCCAGTCAAAATGGTTATAAGTTGGGAAGATGATGACAATCTTAACACTTGAAAAACGAATATAGCATTGACTTTACAAGTAGACAGAAATCTTGACCATTTGCTAATATACTTTGGGCAACAAATCCAAATAACTAGCAACAAGCTGAAACAAGATTTAAACCTGTATGACTTGTTCTTCTTTCTTTCGGCGTTCTTCATCCTGTAAACGTTTTTGTTGTTTTTTGGATACCACTTCGGTAAAACCATCATCATTCATATTTGATTGGGGATCTTCAATTACTGTTACTTCAGGATGATCATCAATTATAACAACACCTTTGGGTATGAAAAAGAATTTAAAATATTTTGTGTTTCAAATGAAAAGGTTAATAAAAATGTTTAGTACAGTAGTACTTTTTTTAAAACTAGCCAAAGGCCTAGTTCCTGTAACTTATACTGTATATAACCTATTTCCCACCCTATAGCATGGCCATTCATTGTAAAGATTTGAAAAAGATTTCACAGAATTAAAGTTTTAAATAAAAATCCTAAAACTGGCCAGGTGCAGTGGCTCACATCTATAATCTCAGCACTTTTGGAAGCTGAGACGGGCATATTGCTTGAGGTCAGAAGTTTCAGCCCAGCTTGGCCAACATGGCAAAACCCTGTCTCTACTAAAAATATAAAAATTACATGGGTGTGGTGGTGCACATCTGTAGTCCCAGATACTCGGGTGGCTGAAGCATAAGAATAGCTTGAACCTGGGAGGTGGAGGTTGCAACGAGCAGAGACAGTGCCACAGCACTGCCGCCCCGGTGACAGAGTAAGACTCTATCCGAAAAATACTTGTTTTGAATGACGCAGGTCTTTTTTTTTTCTTTAAGTAATACAGAGGTAATGACTTTAA